TCATATTCATTTTCTCATAAGAATAAATTTACAACTGAAAGTCTATTTTGAGATTTAATGAAGGCTCAAGAAAAACATGAAGAATTTCTTTCTTAAATTTGAGAATAAATCTCTCGAGCTTATTTGAAATGATACAAAAAAAAATTTAATTTCGAAGTAAAAAAGAACTATTAGATAAAAAGAAGATATCATATTTAGACATTAAAAGCTAAAAAAGTTGTGTCCTAACTCTTTAGCTGTAAAACATGTCAGGTGGTGTAGTGCTCAAATTATTTGTCATACTCTTTTATAAAAAAAAATGTGAAAATCTTTCGTAATGCACTAGATGCACTTCACACATACCTAAAACATTCTCAGTTTATCGCAATATATGATATATTAGGTCACACCACATACTTGGAACACTTATCAATGAGTAATGGAATGGGATACACTATATTATATCACATATTTGTAACACCTAGTGGTGTGTCACAATATATATCATTATGCATAACATACTTGGAACACTTTTTGGATGTCATGACATGTTGTAAATTGAGTCACATCACATATCTCGAAAATCTCTTGATATATTGTGGTTTATGTCGACATTGCATCGCATCACATATCTTAGAACACCTCTCATGTTTTATAATATGTAGCAAATCATATTATATAATTAAAACATATCTCGATCTATTGCAATATGTGATGTATTGGGGCATATCACATACTTGAAACACCTTTAAATCTATCATAATATGAGATATACTATATTATATCAAATATTTGTCACATCAACTAATATCTTGTAATACGTAATTTGCTACCTTTAAGATGATTAAACTATTTTTAAGAAATTCATTTAAAAAACTTTCAGATCTCAATAATTTCACAAAATAATCATTTTTTAAATATTTTTTTACTAAAAATTATAAAGAACACTGTAACGATTTGAATTCTCTAAAGAGAAAAGAGTATCACCCCACATGTGAACCTGATAAATTTTTTGCGCAACATTATGTTGATCTCCATAAATCAACAATATATCTCTTGTACGGAATCATAATTCATGAGACTCAAAACAATCTTTTGACATTTTATAATAATAACACATTTAGGTCTACTTTACAATAAGCGTTCAAGGTAGCTAAAGGATTCTTCGAAGTCTTCCTTTAATCTTGAACTCCCTCATGACCTAAACTAATCTGCACTGGGAGGGGAGGCATGAATTGAGGTGAGCTTCACGGACTTAACAAGAATAAAGTAGTATTCAGAGCAGAGATATGCAAACATACATTCATAAAGTCTTGATAAAACCAACACAAATTTCATATTCGTAGAAATCCAATTTGTAAGACAACCTTACTCATCATCGTTATCGCAAGTACAACAAAAGAAACAATCAAGAACCACATCCTTTTCATTACTCATTCCAACATTTATATCTAGGTACCGTACATATTATTCTCATTTATAAATATCATCATATCATATTGGATTTATATTCAAATAATTTCGTTTCGTTTACAAATACCATCAATCACACCAGATACGCATCCAGATCATCTCAATTTTCATTACATATTGTCATTTTTCTTATCGATATTACTAGGGGCCCATAGGGATCCCCGCTACAAGTGGATGTACAAATATTTATTTTAAAGTTCATCGGTCGTCCTTATACCCCATTCGGTAATGGGCACCACAACTATAGATTGTTTCAATACCCTGTCCAGTATGAACGTAATTAAATCAATTCTCCACTCTGTCCGATATGGGACTTCCCAGCATTGTACAGCTGAGGACTCATCCGTAGGGTTCACCCTATGTACCAAGTTCGTACACTCTCTCCCATGATACCCGATAAACTTTTTCTTCTTCAAAGATTATTTCTATTTCATATCCCAATTTCAGAAATTCTAACATTTTTTATATTTTATTCTTTTTCTACCCAAATCTTATATTTATATTTTTGAAGAAAAATTTACATCCAACAATGGTATCAATTTATATTCTCATTCACACAGTCAACAACCAATCTCATCACTCTCACATATCTATTTACACAACTGATATGCGCACTCATTCCACTCATAATGAGTATACATAACAACAAATTACTCATACAAAATCATTTGAGCAAACAATCACATGCATACATGTATGTCCAACATATACAGTTTATATTGTATTAAACATACACCCAACGTACTACATAAGCAACAAGCAATCGTAATCTATATCTACACACATTGCTTACTTTAATTTATCTTGTTACCATTATATTTAACCATATACCTATTCTAATTATGTACATATATATACTTTCTTACAATATACATATTTCATCTAATTATGATTTAACATACATAAACCACTTATACTCATACAAAATACATACATCTATATTCTCACTTCAAATATGCATATAAGCAGTTTCTACAACTACGTAACTACTAACATTATTTTACACCTACACACATACGGATTCAATGCGTAGGACTATTTACAGTCATACCAACATACATGTATATCTATTTACATGTCATACAATTTCGTATCAACATATTACATACTCACACATATATATAGCTATATACGTAAACATGCCCTAGAATCCATCTACTTTTTATACATGGAATCCTATACGTTAAACAACAACAACCTATTCATTCACGCATGACATGTCTGTATTTATACATATACCCTATACGACACTAACGCTCAATACACACTCACTCACATACATATGAAACTTTGCAAACCTTTCAGGAAAACACTTAAATCATCCATCAAACTTTTAAATTAATAATTTTGAAATCAATAAATTATTTTATGAAAACATAAAATCCTCGAATAAAAACTAATTTAATTCTTACCAAGATCTCCAACGAAAGAAGAAATAGCAAAGCTTTCACACGACTTTGGTTCCATACAATTGCCTCCCTTTTCAGTTTCATATTCCTAATTTTTCTAAAACTTTCATATACATGATTAAGGATTTAATTTAAAGTAATAACTGAATGTAAGGTGGAAGAAAATTTACCAAAATCAGTGTCGAATTTGGGCATTTTTATCCGAAAGAGTGGCTTCGGTCTCTCTATACGGTTCCCTAATTTTTGGCATCGCACGGATCTTTGAACAGATCTGGAACGCTGCATCGTGGTCTGCTTTACATGGATCAAGTCCGCCGAACACACACTTTGCTTATTCTTCCTCAGCAACACGCGCTGCGTGCCCGACATAATGCGTCAAGCACTGCGCGTCGCGCGCCGTGCGCCCAGCACCGTATGTTGCGCGTCGTGCACCCAGCACCGTGTGCTGCGCGCCGCAGGTTCAGCACTGCGTGCAATTTTGCCTTTTCGGCTGCATGCCCTACTTCCTTCCTCTTTCTCCTTCTCCTTCTCCTTCCTTTTTTATTTCTTTTTTTCCTTTTTCTTTTTCTTCTTCTTTGTCAGTGCGCACCACACACCCAACACTGCGCGCTTGACATCCTTTTTCCCGGCCCTGCGCGCCATGCCATATTTTTCCTCCTTCTTTTCCTCCTTCTCTTTTTTCTTATGCTAGGGTTTATTTGTCTCCTTTTTTTTTCCTAGCCTGGGTCTGCGCTCCCTTCTCTTCCTTGGGCCTGGTTATTATAATCTCTCATCCTTAAAAAAATTTGGTCCTCCAAATTTGATCTTACTCTGGGTTTGTGAATTATTAAGCATTTTAACTTTTCAATGGCTTCTTCAATAGAATGACAGTGTGATTATATTTTATCTATATGAAGGAATATCATCCTGGTTTATGTTGTGTTTCCCAATTTCATAATTATCTAATATCTCCCAATTACAACTCAAGTGATTGTCGTTACCATTTAGTATTGGGAGGACCATGACATGTTTGGTCACTATTCCAAATAGTCTCTTAATAAATCATGCATTTTCTATTCCTCACAACAATGAGTTCTTAATTACCTAGATAACCTCAACCCTATGGTATG